AACACGGAAGGATTGAGGAGTTAGTATAGTTAACGCAACTTATTCCATCGTCACTTATGTGTGACTCTCGGTTTCTGGGTCATCTCATTTCAATAATCATTTGTGACAAGTGAACTGCTTAAGTTTTCAGTAGTATATCATCTGAGGGGTTGAGGGAATTTTTCCTTTCCACTTGCGGTCCACTCCTTTGTTTATGTAAAATCAGCTGCTATGTGACATGATACACGGCATTAATGTCCTTTTTTGCCTATCTTTTGCAGAATGGCTCCAGAAGTCATGTATACATGAACTCCTCCGTGTTAGGGAGGGATTAATGCCTGGAGGAGGCGTTGCCTCCCTAGAAGGCTACATTTAAGCGTACGATGTGACGAAGAAAAGGAAGTTGGATGATGATGATAATGATGATGATTATGGGAGTGGATGATGAAAATCAGTCACCACCTCTAAAGGCTGGTTTAAGAAGATGATGGCGAAGATGAAGAGGAAAAAGATGGTGAAGAGACTACGGTGTGTGCAATGAAATTCTACACTTCTATAATTACATCCACAAGGGTAAAAAGACGCACCTCACATCCTTATAGATGACTTATTTTGCTAATGGGTGACCTTCCGGCCGGACTGAGTCTTGACATGACCGCCTTGACAGCCAGTCATAGGCGTGTTCGATCTGGACTTCGGTAATCCAGATGATGCTCTTTCTGCTCAAAGAAGGGCTAACAATGTGACCCCACAGATATCCGTATGGTGATGGGTCTCTCCACCACTTGAATGGTGAGAAATACCTCAAGGACGGTCAACTGTGTGTTTGTCAGTCACGGCCCCCCAGCAGATCTATCCAACCCAGGGCATGCCTGTCGAGACATATCTCCGCCATCATATGGCCCAAATTCGATCAAGTAGGGAAGTATAGTAGGAGAGTCTTAAAACTATTCGGATTTTCTGGACTCTTTTATCATTTTATTCCTCATTTGACTCTTTTTTAAATCCCCGAAAATGATGCATCTCGTTAGTAAGTACCTTAGGACCACCAGCATAGTAAAGCAAACTGTCCTTCCTTTTCCTGTGCGTTGTAATTTGTACGCAGTTAGCGGTTATCTACCAAATAAATACTAAAATCCCTTTTCCCCTAAGTACTTTGCCAGTGTCACATATATGTGACGAAACGGTTTTCTTCGAACATGTCCCAATCAATGCGTGATAAGAAGATTCAGTATATACTGCCGTAGACAGGTTAACCCAGTTTAAACTACTTGATAAATGTTGTTGAAGGTCTAATTCTCAGTGAATCAGAACACCTAAACCGTAGCAAGTAATTCACCTCAGAGACTCACGCAGGGAGATTTCACCTACAATTCGACGCGTTTTCTTCTGCCTCGGCTAATTTCATTTCTACATCCCCTTAGTCAAAGTGGCCTTGAGGAAAGTGCATTAGGATTCGGCGAAAAATGGGAAAAGGCAGGAGGAAGGAGAGGAAGGGAAAGAGAGCAAATGAATCATAACTGGTGGGCGAATGTTTTTTCCCGCCTTGCTGTCTCCTGTCTTGTAGACCTTTTTGAGACACCGAGGTGGCAAAAAAGGCAAGAGTGCGAGAGAAAGAGAGAGTCAATGAGTCATTGAAGGCATACAAGCAAACATTCACTCCTCTATTTGCCATGCGTACGACATGACCTTAGGGAGAGCCAATTAGAATAGGGGAGGAGGAGAGAGGCTTGTGATCCTTTTCCCCCTCTCCCCGGAGGGAAGACAACTGTTTGACAGTGGAAAGACGATAGAAGGGGAGCAAAAGAAGAAGGAGGAGGCATCTTATGAATAAACAATATTTTTTGTGGGTAACGCAAGAGAGAGAGCGAGAGAGGTGGTGAACTGAGAGTCTGTTTTTGGCCTCCCTTCTTCAAAAATATACCCATTTTTATGAAAATGAGTTTAAAAGAATTAAGAAAATTAGCCCTAATTTGCCAGTAGTGATGAGGATGAGTAAATTTATAAGGTAAGACGAAATGAGAGAAAAATTGAAGGCTGAAAAGTAGCACTGAATCGACAAGCAGACCTAAAAAAGTGAGGAAAAACATCGAAATGCAACCGTCAGGCGAGCTAAGGAGGAGGTGACCAAAACAAGACGAGTGCAAGTGTAGAAAGAATTTGTAACCCTTTTTCTCAGACACAATCTGTGACCCAAGGTTTGACAACTCTCCTGCTGGCAAGGAGGCACCTTCGGTATCAAGTGAGGGCAAATTTAGTGCACTTTTTTCACATTCACCTCATTGTCAGCGGCAAGAATTACGTGTTCCTTCAAAATTTGTTAGTACAATGGACTTAGTGGATGAGATTTTGGCCTGCCAACTTGAGGGATAGAGTGAGACTAGCCTCCAGAGCTCCCGAGGCTGCCCGACTTATCTGTTTTCCAGCATCTAGAGGAGGGTGTTCATTGTGGTGATACAGTGGTTTGCCACTGGCATCAACGCGGTGGCAACAGCTGCTCTGGCGACTGTGCAGACGAGCCACGCCCAAACGACATACATTAACCGATGACAAGCAGGGGTTTTGAGGGCTATCAATCTGTTTTTGTCACTTTAGGGTGGGACTTTTCTGCTTGCTGACTGACTGACATGGAGTGGAAAAGATGGACTTTTTTATCCCAGAGGGGTAAAAAAGTGCCCATGAGGAACGCTAACAATCCTTTCCATGGACTGTTTCTGACTAGGAGGTCAGTTGTTCTCGCATTTAAGCATGAGATGGGGCTCATCCTACCTCCTTGAGGATGTCTTTGTCTGTCGACCCGTGTGAGTGAGCCGGGCAGAGGCTGTGGGGCGGGGAAAGGTGGGCAGGAAGATGAGTGCGTGCGTGATTTCCGTCTGACTACTGAAATCGCGGGGCCAGTTCCATTCTAACCTGTTTATAATATTTTGATTAAACTTGTTTATCTACTGATTCTTAGCTCTCTTGTAGGTAATATTGGCCAATCAGGGGAGGTGAATGGGGACGCGTGTTTTGGGCGATTTAAAATGAGGAAGATTTAAGCACTAAAAGGAACCTTCTGGAATATCAGAAAGGAGACGTTTGCTTGGGTCGCAGACACTCTCATTTGATCACGACGACGTGGTTTTTATGCACAGTTGGTATGGGTCTACCAAGAAGACAACTTAGCTCCCTTCTGATATGGAAAGTGAAATATCTCCCCTTTAGAGTTGTCCACAATTCCTTCGACCTTTTAAATGGCACCGCCTGCAACCATAAGGAGGGCAGAAGTATTGTAGTTGAAGAGGCTTAAAAAGCGGCCGAAGATGGGGTTAAAGCTACTTGAAGGCTGATTAGACAGCACATACACGAGCTTATGGGTATCTGCTCCTCCCTCTAATTGACAAATTACCTGAAAATTGACAGGCTTTAGAGTAATTAACTCTATAGAGGATGTGGTGTACCAGATTTCAAAGTCTGGAGGAAGACAAGCAGGATGATCAAAAATTCACCCAATTCATGTGTGTCACACAGATAAAAGTACCTGTAGAGTGATTAATCTGGTACCTTTGAATAATTTAGGGGGCTATTAGCCAATCAGGCGATGAAACCTCTACCACGCGGCAGAAAATCATGCAAACGGGCTACGCAAAATACGAAGGAATTGAGAGGTTCAAGACTATTAAGTCTTTTTTTATACCACCAATGGCATGGCGGAGAAAGTTTACTAAAAGTAGGGAGGTGCAGCAACACTATTAACGAGATGTGATAATCCTGAAGGGATGAAAAATAAGGAATATGACTCACTCGTTTTGGTTGTTTAAAAGAATCGAACTCACCTAGCTAAAAGAACAATGAAGCCGAGATTGACGGAAGGCTAGATGGATTCGAGATGGATGAATGAATACAGGGGGGATGGATGCGCAATGGACACAGAATGGAGGAATGACAAAGAGTTCTGCAAGCTTCACGGATGCGAGCTGATTCCCGGAACTCATCACATAGTCATGATAATTCCTGTCTGTCAATCGGTCCTAATTTTATTCTTATAATAACAAACACTTCCAGCTCTAAAGATGTCATTCAAAACCGTACAGAAGATACTTCGCATGCCGTTCACAACATGCTAAATACTCTATTCTTCAAAGGGATAATTAGACATGAAGTACAAATTTTTAAAAAGAGAAAAACAGGTAGGCAATAAAGCTTATCCCAATAATAATTCAGAGTTTACAACCTATTAAAATTTTTAAAATTAATGTTGTGGTCTCTACCCCTTAAACGACATTTCTGTTCCGATAACCAAAAAACTTTCCTTCGGAATTCAATTCTCGAACATCTTGGAACGCCTCAAAACTCGCGCTCTCGTTTCTTTCCTCTGATTGGCCAATGTCAGGGGCAGCTGGCCTTGAAGGTCGGGGTCACTTGAAAACCCACGAAAAGGCTAGAATGGTACAGCTCTGAGTCTTGGCGTGCAGTCACAGACGTACATGTTGTCTCATCCCTCTCTACCCCCAATTTCACTCACAAAGGAAGGCAATAAAATTGTCCGCGTTGAGGCCACAATCCCTCCTAGGTATCCTGCTTGATAAGGGGACAGGATCCAAGTTTGCCCTCACAGCTAAACACCAGGTTATGGTAGACAGGGATAGAACTTACCTCCAGCACTCTCCAGTCAATTTTGAGGCGGTGTCACAAACCCCTCTGTAGTATTTAAACTAAGCAAATCAATGGGATTCACGTGATTCCTTCCGAAAGGTTGCATTTTCAAATTGCTTGTTCAAATGCATGAGCTCCTGTCGTCGCTTTGAAGACATTCATGAAAACCTTCGGTAACCTTTCAAAGGTAATACTTACCTTTTTGCTTTCTTAGTATATTGCAAACTGATTTTCCCACTTAAATCTCCCAATTTGCAACCAATCAAATACCGATTTCCAAGGTCGTTCCATATTACAAAGCTAATGGAATTTGACACCACTTTTCTCACCAACTTTATATCTAGCGACCTTTGAGTAAAAAACTAACACGCAATGCGCGTAAGAAGATGAAAGCTTCAAAAGTCACGTGTTCGGTGGCCTCTCATGCGGTTGGTACTAAAAGCGATGCAATTGGAATGCACTTCCTTTCCTTCCTTCACACCAATCCGGACTCGCGGTATTCAAGGTTGAACCTGAAGAGGGTGCCTTCTGTGTCACCCGTGGTGAGACTGAAAGCAAAACCGTCGCAGGAGAAGAGCACAACCCAGAGTAGGTCGGCCAGGTTGTTTGCTTAAAGTGTATAAGAGCCTCCTCTTCGAGTGGTTGATTTAGAATTCTTTATATTTGAGTTTAGTTGTATAGTTTGCTAATGTTAGGATGAGTAATCCGTCCACCAGTCCACTAATCATCCATCTGTCGGACTGTCCATTCATCCTTCCATATGGCCTGGCTCTGGACTAGCTCTAATTAGACTCCCGGATGTCCGTCCGTCCTTCCATCTGTTCATTCAACCATTATCCCATCCATGCAAGCCTTCATCTGTTATTAATTTACATCACTTAAAATAGTTAACTGGATAATATATTTCACAATGGAAAAGAGAAGTAAGGAATGTAGAAGTAGTTCTTACGATTGAGGAGATTTGATAGACAGTGAGAGTCAGGGAACGCTCCAAGATGTTCAAGAGTTGTTTAAACTCTTTTTAAAGCCTCCACAGTGAAACCGGAGCCGGAGTTCTTTGTAAAAGCCCTCACCTTCTGCCTACAAAGCCTCGAGACAACCTCCGTGGAGACCTTCACGGATACTTTGGATACTATGGAGGAGTCCTTGGACTCCACCATCTCTTCCACCCTCGTAGATACTCCTGTCCGACCGTCAAATGACTGGACTGTGGAAATGCCACAGTTCTTTAATGGTCCTCTTTCTGCTGCTATTGAAGCGGTTAAAAGGGCGCCTGGATGTGCAGTAAGTCGGTGAATGCCTTATGCGGCGCTAGGTGTTTCTAGATGCCATATTTTATGGACTCCTCTCTCAGAACAAGCAATATGCTACTTGTTTCCTCCCAGAAAGCTCCCACTTTGTTTCCCATAAAGCACTACCAAAGAATTTTTTACTTGCCTCGTTGACAACTTTGCGATACCATCTTCCTTGTCAAAAATTTATTATTTATCTTTTCCTCATCATAAACTCACACTTCTAACTAATTTCCATTAAAACATCTGCTAACCAATCAGGATGAAGAATTCTAATACCAAGGTTATCAAAATAACCTCAGTCTTCGAAGGTTCTAGGCTAAATACTAATGAGATGAACTCCTTTTGAAGTTGTGAAAGGCATCATCGATGATTAATAAGGATTACCTAATCTAAGTTGACCTTCTGACCTGATTATTTTGCTAGTAGTTACCGTGGCTGATTATTTCTATACGAAGGCGGGGAAATCAAATATCAGACTTCAAAGGTTTGCACTCCTTGGCAGAGCTCGTTTCCTGGGTGTGCAGACGAGCTTGTAAAGCCCTTAACTGACTTGTCAAGGCGACTGGAGAGATCAAGAGAGAATACCTCCATTCCCTGGAGCATCCGCGCTTCGAGCTGGACATCAAAACTATCCATATATTTATATGCAGACTCTGTACCAGTGGTTTAAAAACCTCACTGTACCACTTTTAGTGGCCTCCAATCATTCTAATGCTCTTCGGAAAGGAACCGGTTTCAAACAGAAACTTTGTCAGTAGGGTTCTCTGCAGCGGTGTAAAGAAGGTTCCCACGCGAGACTACCACGGAGGCGATGACATCTCCGTTGACATGACCTCACACTGTATTCAGGAGATCGGAATGACTCCCACCACTATCAACGGCCTCCTTATTGAACGCGCCATCAAGATGGTTCCATGGAGCTGTGCCACTTCTGAGCATCGGCGAATACTGGCTGCAGCCTTCCGTGGAACTCGGCTTGAGCAGTGGCTCCATGAGTGGTGTCCAGTAAAATCTGCTTATGAATAACGCGCTACTCAATTTATATAAGTAGATAAGGCGGCTCAGTTCAAGTAGCGCTATTTTTAATGCACTGGGCTGAAGGTCACTAGTAAGGAAGCGTTGCAGATGCTTTATTTACTACTTTGTACCTTAAGAAAGGTGTTGTTACCTATCCCCAATAAGTGAGCGGTTATTAATTAATCACTCAAAACTATCCTTGGTTAATTTTTTCCCGGTATTTTTGAACAACACCACTTCCTTCTAGCACAATGACTACCCCCGCCTTGTCGCCATTGGTCGAAAAAGAAGGGGCGATGTGGTATGCAGCGAATTTCGAGGCTCTTTGGAGCGAACCCTTCGGTGGATGGAATTAGTGACACAGGCACATTTCCATGACTACGAGGGTGACAAGAAGGGTGACGTCGACTTGGGCGCGTCTTCCTCGGAGTCCTCGAGATCAACCGATGAGGCGCAGAAGAAAGGGCGACGAAAGATTGTTTTTTATGAGAAACAGGAGGTGAGATAAATACTTCGGGAGATTGCCTCTAAGCTAGGAAATCATTGATTAGATTAATAGGAACAGTTCAGGTTGTGTAAGCAGGACTTTCGGCTGAATGTTGGGGACACGGATGACTCCATCCTCACACAATGATCTTCTAAGTGAAGACTGATACCTATTAAGTCCATCAGCACACGATGTTGGCCTACCAGATATCTCGGACGACATGGCATATTTTGAGGCCACCAAGAAGCTATTAACTTGATACTAGTTCTGCTTTTATAAATCTCTTTGCCACTTGAAGTAAAATTCCTAGCCCTGGGCAATGCCCATTTGCATGTTTTAATGTGAGGTGGGACGGCATCCCCACTACATCTTCTCACCAGCCACTTTAGTCCTTTGAAACAGAAGTTCCTGTGTGATCGTGCGGAAATTGGGCCTCTCTTTGATTGGCCCACTACTCCCATCAATTTGCCGAGAAATTTTGTCGAAAAGCTTGGAGGAGGTAGATCTTGAACGTAATTTTTTGGTCCTCGCTGAGTGAAGGGCGCCTAGAAAACAAAGTCATTGGCCGCTCACGGCACACAAGATATACATATTCTTTTAAAATGCGGCAAAGTGGGTTAATCGTATGAAGTCCGTTAACGTCACAGATCCGTTAGGATACACTGCAAAAGGGTTAAAAGAAAGAGGAAAGAGCATAACAATGGACTTTCAAGTGTGGCACTAGGAGTACGGTACGGCGTGGGGCGCACATTTCTTTCCCTAGCCCTCCAGGATCCTCGTGGTTGGCATTGTAGGTGCGTGTCGACGAAAAGCCTTCCTTCCATCCGTTGGGTAAGTCATCACCAGAACCAGTGTTGCTAAAACATTTCTGTTAGCTGAGTTCTGTAACGCACCTCCTGACCCGTGAACCTGCATTAAGCTTGGCTTGTAAATTAGACAAGGTCAGCTTACACCCATAAAGTTCATTCAACCGATGGTTTATGAGAAGAGAGACTTCTGTTTCGAGGGCTTGACGTATGCCTGCGCCTTATAGGGTCTGTGTACAAACAACAAGTCCGCACAAATCACAGGTCAGTGCAATGTGGCAACCCGACAACGCCATCAACTTTTGTCTGTCTCTAATCACTAAACGTCATTGATCTAATGACAAGAAGGGGTTGCTCTTCCGTGATATTTTTAGTTATCTGTTTTAATTAAGATTTCCCCTTGTGTTTCCACGCAATAGGTCAAATTTGAGTCGTTTAAGAAAGAGCCTTCAAAGATCTTCGAGGAGAGGACAAAAAACGTCATTAAAAGTAAGTTTGAAATAATCGCCAGTTCCACAAAATTTAAAGTTGTGACTTTATTAAATTACGGATCCTACTTATGCATATGTTATCAGTAGTATGGCAAGAGTGAGCCAGTTGTAGCGCATTACTTACTAGTGTTGCCTATTCAGAGGCGAGTCTGTTCTAATCGTGTTGAAGAACAGAGAGACTGGCAATCTAGGCGGTAAGAATAATTCCATCTAGATCGTTCGTTCCATCTTACCCTAAAAACCGTCCTCCAGGCTCCTTCCAAGTTGATTATCCGTATTTATTCCTCATTTCCACATACTTTCAGCTATTTTTTGGTCCTTTTTAGGTTTTCAATCAACACGACAAGGCTCACCAGTTCCTCCCTACTCAGCAGGTAGTTTTCAGAGGTCATCCAGCACTAGCTCATCTTCCGCCCAACCTTCAGAAAGTAGCTTCACCTATCCCACCGAGAAGGGTTGTGAAACAGTGCCGCTCCTTAGAACCCCGTTACATCAGCAAGTGGTGGACAAAATGCACAAATTTTGGACCAATTTCCGAGATAACTTTATCTCCGGCTTACCCATTCTTCCACCATTCTTGCTAACAAGATTTTCCACTGCTTTGATCCGCTGTTTGGAGCCAAATTCAGAAAAGGTAAATATTGCTAAATCATGCAGTAATATAAAGAATACCTTCCATAAATGACGGGTTTAAATATCAGGAGGCTTATGGTACTTGTCTACCCTTTTATCTGCAAAGTAGCAGGTGAAGCCCCTGCTTGTTTACCTCCACGATGACGAAGCTGCTCCTACCGCTCACTTCGTTGCAAATGTGCTGTGCTCTCAACGCTTCACCCACGCACTCTACAAACGTGGAATTGGCATATGGCCAGTGGACCTGACAGGAGATGTTTTGCCGCCCAACCATCACCGCAGCCATCACCACCATCATCACCGTCTAGAGAGTGCCGATGATCTAAGCCCCTTAAAAGAGGGCGATTTGGAGGATATTCCACAACAAGCGCATGCTCTATTACATCTCTTTCGAGACTACCCAGCGAAACAGACTGTTTCTAAGATTCTCTCGGTAGGTTTAAAATGCAGCCCATCTTTAACTAGTTCTTAAGACGAATAAAGTGGAGCTAGCTTATCATAATGACTACGTTACTGTCAAACCCAAAGTTAATTGTAGCTAGGCACTTAGTTATGTAATTTTATTGCCATTAACTGGAAGGAAAATGGTCTTCTACAGTGGAAACTAGACTGACCATACAGGTGTTAGGTAACACGGCTTATTGGGGCGCCATTGGTCAATTGATTGCTTACTTAGCCTGAAAGATCAAAGCCCCATTTGCTAACCAATAGCATTGAAGAACTCACTTAAATTCATTTTAGGAGCGTAATTTGCCTTCGCTGATGGCAATACAAGTACAAAATGGCAAACTCTGTGTTGTCTCCACCCTACACTACAGCGCGACAACAAAACAGAGTGTTTTGTGGTTGTATCGAATCATTGCCGCATTCGATCAAGAAATCAACGAGGACAACGTCGATTTGGAAGAGACTTAATCCATTTTCCATTAAATCTGTCATCGGGTGTCTCACTTTATCTCTCTCTTAGGTGTTACTTGTTGGCCGGTAGGCTAGTCGGTGCCAGTATGCTCTTAATCAGCTTTAAAAGTATTTACTAAGTAAGCGATTGACGGCAAAAATAATGAATAAGGTGTAGTGAATTATTTACAAACATTAAGGAGTCACCTTAGCATTCCACTTAATCGTAAGGGCTTTGAAAATCCAGGAAGGCTTAGGAAATATTTTGCATTGTGGGGATACGTGGTTATCTTTAGGCTTAAGGAACGACCTAATCTAGGGAGGGTGTAATTCTGAAGTCGAAGGCGGTGACGCCTTCTGAAATCCAGAAATCTGGATCGAGGTGATCGGCTATTTGAGATTTTGTTGCCTCCTTGGTAAAAGGTAGTGGTGTCTCCATCCCGTGAATGATCCAACCTGCCAACTTGACACCTATAAACTTGTAGTTTGGCACACTCCGTTTAAGCACTCTCTATTTTTACCCAACGATTAACTCATTTACTTATTTACTCACTTGTCAAGATATTCTTTTAGTTACTCACCAGGGAGAGGTATGGATTAACAGGTTACCGAGACATGGAAATTTTTTCGCCTTCTTACCTAAATGTCATTAAAGTTGACAGATGACGTCTTTGTTGTACATCTGTTAGGCGTTATCAAATCTACCATTCCTTGCCATCCCATGATTCTGGACTTTATTTAGCCACACAGACGCTTCAGTCTCCTTAGACTATGCTTCTATTAGACTAGACTGATGCCTTCTTAACTCCTCTGTACATTAATTAGTAGTATGCGCACCCGTTACTACAGGGAGGACTTGAGGGAGCCACAGTAACCATCTGTTTACCGCTACATTTAGAACAGCATAAGCAGAGTTAATTGTAAAGCCCAGTCCCATTTTCTGTCTCGGATGAAACAAATAAATACCGGAGCTGTAACACTCGAAAGAAGAGGACGGTGAGCTCAAAGAAGACCACTCCGAGAGTAGCTGACAACTACAAAAGAAACCAGACAATCAGATGGCTCGAAGGGACAGGTATTTATCCAAATCGTTGGGAAGAAACATAAAAAATTGTCATGGGTTTTACCAAATTCACAAAGTTACGACCTCGAACAAATTAATCCCTAAATGATTAGGGTGAAAGCAGCACTTTTTTTCATGTTCCTTTTAAATAAGAACACAAAAATGTCGATGCAACGTTCTGAAAGACACTGCTGGTAGTCAATAATCGTGGTGATCGCGGGCTAAATCTCAATGCCTTCCTCGCCTCTGGAAGAATTCCTTCAGTCGATCAATCTTTCGTCTTCTCGTCTGTGCAAAGTTGACCCGCGTTGGCCGCTCTGTTGAGGCAGCAGCAGAAACTGACGACGTCGTCTGTGCAGCAACAACCTCACAGGAGCTAGTGTCCAAGCCCGAACTGGTGACTTTGCTTTGTGAAGCCTCGTATTCCTCATCCTTAAAAGTGTGTTGACGGAGGAGACGCAGATCGAATTCAGTAAGGCGCGAGGGATCAGTACTGACAACATCGGAGAGCAGACGAATGGCATAGGTCCGCCAGCGCTCCGCATCTTTTGCTGTTGCCATGGTCGCAGTGTCCTCTTGAGCCTCGAGAAGGTCATTTGGTGAGCGACCATTTTCTACCATGGCACGCACAAGGCGGTTGGCGTACTCCTCCCAGTTCTGCCTCTCAGTGCGTAGCTTGCGGATTAACTCGGCGGCATCGCTCGAGGTGTCCTGGACCTGTTAGGTAAAGAAGAGGCTAATAGGCAGCAACCTCCATAACAGATTGATTGACAAGAAAAACTGTTCCACACTGCATCAGCCAGGGGTATTGACTCAACTTACCGGTGAATGACTGCAAGTGGATCCAGTTCCACTCCTTTCATCACCAACGCTACTAGTTCCATTTCCCTGACTTGTGCGCGCATCGTCGACGCGTTTACGAAGGAAGCTGCCTTGCTTCCTCAGCCTCGTCATCTCCGCCTCTGTTGTTTTGCGCTCCCGTCGGAGCCGCTCCAACTCCTCCTGCATTTCATGGTACTCTTCTACCATCTTCCGAATCTCGTCTGTTGCACCTTTACTATTTGAGGCAAGAATGAAGTTTCGAAGCTGAAATGTAAATTGTTTTGTTTTAAAACGTTTGTTTTATTAATATGACTTATACTGGGCGCAGCCATCAATTTTGCACTTTTTTGAGGAACAACCATTTCGTTTAAGGGATCATCAGTTAAAAAAGCAGTCAATTTGCAGCCGTAAATTTCTTTTTGTTTATCAAGACCTCATTTGGGGGCCATTTGGAAATTGCGTATCTGCATCGTACTTTGCAAATCTGACTACTAACTGTCTTTAATTGCGAGGTAGCTGCACAGTGAAATTCTCACCGACCTCTGTAATGCCACCTCGAGAGGAGAAGAGGGGGAGCAGGGGATTTGAAATGGTGCTATTAATCATCGACAAATACGGGGTGCGTTTGACCTTGAAAATTAAATTTCCAGAAAATATATGCTGTGTATAGAGCAGTTTTTAACAATTACCAACTATTTTTTTAGGATACCAGTCAAATCAACAATATTTCTATTACATACTAAAGGTAGTTACTTATTAAGCAATTAATTAGTCCTAAAACAATTTGTTTCTGTGAAACATGAAACAGATCCACTAAAAGTGATTTTAACTGTTCCTAATTATAAATACTGAGAAACCCCTCATTACTTGCATTTTAATCTGTTTTTCGGCTGGGTGTCAAAGGCAGCTACTTATTAACAAATTAAGCAGCACTTAACCGGTATTTTAGTGAAGTCATAAACAGGTGCTTTTCGTGTTAAAATGAGTTAGTTAATTGTTTTTCTTTTACAAGGCACATAGCAAGAAACCTCATCTTCACTTTGCAATGCGCAAAAGACCTTCTTCTTTTAATTTAAACCACTAGTCATAGCATCACGGGGCTTAATAAGATGCATTTTAACTCACCGCCAATGTTCCAATCAAAAAATGTTTTGTCATAATTTAAGCGGAGGCGTTGGAGTGACGATTGAATTTTTCTCGATTGCACAGACACGATAGAAAGGGGTTTTACCCTAGCTGTTCATTATTCGGTAGACAAGTCACTCCAGACAGGCGGCTTGGCCCATCCATGCTAGAGTGTACGGGTGGAGACGAATGAGGATTATTTTCCAGAAGGGTGTGTTATTTGAATCTACTTACATCTCACCGAGTGATGTAGGAATGGGGTGTGGTGACTAGCCCTAGTTCACCGCACGGTTGTCACCTCTGCGAATATTTAGACGTCGTCAGCAGTGTTCCACCCATAATGCACATGCGCCCTTAAACCGTGTCATTAAGGATCGCTCAAGACATAAATCTACCTTTTCACGCCTTAAGGGAAGGTAAACGCAAATAGTCAACGCACACTAGGCGCTGCGACGGATTTCCGCTTCTGACTGGCACAGACGAATGAATAGAAAAGGTTTTTGGATTTCATCATTAGTTGCAAAGTGACTAGGATGTATCACCTCACTACGAAATCTCTAGAAAGACACCTCAGTGGTCAGCAGTTTAGTCCTAATGGCAAAATAAGGCAAGCTGCAGGAAAATCCATCGTCCTTGTTATTACCCTACGTAGCCACAAAAGTCCCCGTTTTATGTGAACGAGGTGCTGTTTTGGAAGATTTCTTTTTTTACTAGAAATTATTTTGTGGCTTTCCTCGCCCCATCCATCCTACGGATGTCGTTTGACCTGTGGCCTAATTCTCTATTTGACAGTAACATTATCAACTGCAAAGTACAGGGAGCGTGAAAAACTTTACAGCACAAATAATTGGCCATGGTTACGCTTGTCATATGACCTCTGTCCAGCGATAGAGTTTAGGAGTGGGGGAGTGGATGACACGTTTAAACGTGACGTGTGTGAAACAAAAAGAAAAAAATTGAAAGGGGTTCTGCCTGATGTTAAGCGTTTTGAGTGGACACTCCAGACGTCCACTCGCCTACTACTACAGTCATAAGGAATGGAGAGGGCCACGAGGAAGCGGGGTTATTGTGGCGTACCGACAACAGCGAAAAAAGTGAAATTTTTTACAATACTCAGCTACTACTTCCAAAGAGCTTGTTCATTTCTCGAGCCAAAATAAGTAGTATGTTTATGCTCCCCCTGTTTCGGCCGGTCTCGCCCACTTTCTGTAACACCTTCTTACTTCACGCTTTAGCAAATTTAAAAATTTTCTACCTTAGAACTACAGTTGCATGACGGTGTTGTGAGGGTTGCGTGCCCACAAAGCGACCTTGAAATGTTTTGTGCAGGACTCAGGAGGGGGAGGAGGTGAAGGGTAGGAGCTCTCAAGTGATTAGTTAAACTACTTGCGTGGCTTTACACTCAAGAAATGTAAAACTGATGATAAAAATCAATGGGAATTTGAAAAAAAAATATATTTTTCTCTCTTAAACCTAACTGAAAGTCGAGACGTTTGCCAACTTTTCGACTTGAAGTTCTTTCATTGACGAGGGAGAAGTACATACACCGACAGAAATTAACTTGTACTTTCAAAGAAGATAAACCTTTTGTCCATAGAACGGAACAGAGCAGAATGGAACACACCTTCTTCCTTTATGGATAGAAGTTGCAGACAAGTTGTTAAACTCTCATCGTTGTCATACTGATTAAGTGAAGAGTAACTTATCGTACCCACGTGACACTATTACGCATAAGAATTGCGCCTAACAGCCTCCTCTTCGTTACCTTTGAAGAAGACAAAAGTGTCTCGCATGCTACTTTAAAATCCTTCAAGTAGCTTGTCAAGGCACCTACTCTTCTATAGACTTGTCACTGAGTTTGGCATTAAAATGTGTGGTGCAAGTTTTCCAAAGTAAGATTAACTCGCCAATAAACGATCCCAACAATTATAACTTTTTTCCTGGGCTAACGAGACTAGCCGAGGAAAGTGAGAAAAAGCGATGCAGAAATGCATCTCAAACCATCAAGTTTTTTCTGGCTACAACATTTGTGGCACACTTGTTATCAACGTCAATGATGCAAAATGCCTCGAGTTTCTCACCTCGTCCCGCGCGTCACTTATATGTGACATGCGGCCTAATTCAAAGGAAAGTTTTAGAATTATTGGTCATTGGTGCCCTCGTCAAGAAGGGAAACATTTGGATAGTAATGGACAATTTTGTCCCTGATCATCTAAATACATTAAAATAAATTATACTCAACAGACCGTGAATGTGCTTGTCAGGTTCTGACTGGATAGAGTTGCTCACATCCTTTTATTTAAGTCTCCTCTATCCCTAGATCAGTCTCCACGTCCCAGAAATGCAAGGCAGAACAAACTCATAGCATAATGAGCCTTCTAGCTCGCCCATTTTTCAGCCCTTGGGAATTGACCTGTCAGGAGGCTCACTCTGTTCGTCACCGACTCGGTGACATCTGGCGCTACTGGAAACGCCAAGTCCTAACATCAATAAGTGGCCAAAAAGAAGGTTACGTGGTGGTCATTTCCTATGGCGTTTTGAGGATAACTCCTCTTCACTTAGGGGATAGGACTCACCTTCAACGCTTCGATGTTTGATTTGCTGACAGCGACCTCTTGCCTGTAGATGTCTAGCTGTTCCTGTTGTTCTGAAATGATCATTTGGGCTTCTTCGAGATTGCCTTGCAACTCGTTGCAGCTTTCTCGAAGCGCCTTCAAGTCACGTTTCAACTCTTTCGTCTCTGCGTTTTTCTCGTCTATCAACTCGTAGAGAAGTTCCACGTCCTAAAATGGAAGGTAACGTAAAATTCAAACAGCTTATTAGATTTTGTGGAATTGATGGGGGGGGGGGGGGAGGGGTAAACAGCCTTTTATTCAACAAATGACGAGATAATAATTGCACGGCGAGACAAAACAAGAGAGAAGGTTCGGGCTGGAGTAAAATAAATGGTGGAATAGAGCAGTGAATTGACGCAACAGAGTGGAGAAAGAGAGATCGTTGGATGGCTAGACGCAGGATGGCTGAATGGATGGATGGTCGAATTCGAGGTAGCTTGTTCAAAAATAAGCTAACCTAAAGGGTTCACTGCGTAGTTAAGGCACATTTGCATTTTTACTGTAAACGACCTCTTATTATAGAACCAACTACAGCCTTTACCTCCCCTGATGCATCCCGATGCCAGGTGCGAATTGTTATGACACTCCTATCAATGTATTATTTGCTCTGCGTACCGTAAATAACGAAAAAACCCCAACAGATCTAATCTAAAATGCATAAAAATGTCACAAAAATACTCATATCCTTTTTATTGGACTTTGAAAATCAGATATGACGAATATTGTCTCGTTGTCATTGCAACCAGAGCACATGTTAGAGTGTGTGCCGGCGTATGTGTGGGTATGCAAATCGCAAACTAATAAAACAACAACTTGCGGTTAAAATAATTTATCCCAACTTTGTATTTCCATCTGAGCTAATTTTCTCCTTATTAAACTGTCCATATCGGACAACCTGATTGATCCATAACCAACCAATCACGTTGTGCCAACAGCACTCAGCACCAATCAGATCTCCCCAGCCTCTCGAATATGTTATTATGGAAAAATAGAGAATTTATTATTTTAGATAATTTACCTCCTTGTAATTTAACTACGAGGTAGCCTTCAATCATACGTATGATGGTTCCCATAAGCGTTAAAGCTCTTAGAATGCGTATAATTTCCTATTTATAGATGATGTGACAATCAAATATGAAGAATCACATAAAATAGGTGAATATTTTTCTTGTTGCACAATTAACCGGCAGGTAGTTTTGTGGAATCTTATAGTTATACGCAGGCCTAGACGTTCACAACAGCATGTGGATAAATTGAATCACCTGTCCTGAAAACCGATGGTTTATTTAATCGGTGTGAAAATGCCACATGAAGTGACGTCCTAATGACAAGCGTTTTGACCACCCATGTCCGTAGTATCTCACCCTTTCTGTAAAACAAAGATAAACCACTCATTTACATTAGTAAGGATCATGACCTCATCAAAGCTCTATTTTAATTCTACCTCTACATCCACCTGAAAAGGGAAGGAGGCAGGGGCGGTTCAAAAAAGTTTTGCTAATTTTGGTAACCATTCAAATCTGGAGGTTATCCATACGATCAGTAATGAAATGAGATGAAGCAAACACAATGTAGTTTTTAGCACCACTTTCCCAAACCTCGTCCTCTCTCGGTGGATTGGGAATCCATCACATCCTCTTCAGTCATGTCTTAGAGGTCAGTAAAATTAGCTAGAAGATTAGTTAAAATCGAAACAGAAGATTGACCTCAGAGAAAGCTAGAGTGGAAGGTATTTAAATGGGATATTTAACTAGGCGGGTTGTTAAGATTTTGCTTATTTCTTGCCTTCTCAGCTCATTTGGGCTCTGACAGTAAAGCTTCTTCCCTATTGAGGGTGAAAATTGCGCCAAAAGTGCCTCATTTTATGCCTCGTGATCACCTTTGCGTGTATCCAGGACGGGGGATGAGTCACAACAGTCTTTGCGGTGCAGATTGAGGTCATTTGAAAATTCGTGCTAGCACAGTGTGACCCCATTGGATATTGCGTCGACGCGTTTTGTGTGCTGAATGTAATAGTAACCAGACAACATGTGAAATCCTGTCCTGCTATCCACTCTTTAATAGATGATAGGCCATCATTTTTTTACTTTATCTTATTTTTTTCATTTTCCACGAGATTTTTCTTTTTTTAGAGTCTAAAAAGGAGCTGCTAAACTCAGAAAGAAGTAGATGTTCGATGGTGACGTCACTTTCCTTCTCCGTCTAACACGGGCCGCACTAGCTTGGTGTGGATGACTGAAGACTACCCCGATCATGCTACAGCCTTAGTGACCTGACTTTGAACCTCCCTGGAAGAGGGTAATTAAGAGACACCGAATACTGCCAAGACTTAAACCACCAAGGCCTTTAGCTACCAATGTCACTAATGATCAACATGGCTCCTAATCTCACAGCTCCAGTCGATTTACATGATTTACAAAAAAATATGGACAATTTTTTTCCAAACTTACCTGAGCCAATTCACTGGTATTTACTTCATCTGAATATTCCTTTGGTTCATCAGCACCCTCAAAAACTCGATTTTCACTTCCATCCAATCCAGAAGCGTTGAGACTCATCACACCAGCCGTTCGGTGCATTGATTGGTTGGGCATCTGACGGATGGCACTCATCTCCCGCAAATCCACCGGAACTGAGACTACATGATCCATTTCCACAGAGGAGGAATTCGACGCCTCTTTTGTTGCTATCATTGTGTGAATGCAATGCCGTAGGTGGTGACTTCCAAAAATATGGAAATGAGCCTTCTGATTGGCTCTAGCAAATGGCCAATAGCTTACGAGCCATATGAATTGCCGACCAATATGATTGGCTGGGGCAATTAGAGTGTGCTGCAGAAATTGTGAATAGTTGTGTGTTAATGTGTGTGCCTTGTGCCTTATTTCTCACATTTTTAACCATGCCAAACCTACCTATGCTCATTTTAAGTCCTATCCAAAGCCTGTCCCAAAGAAAATGGATTGTTTCATTGCTCAAGAGTACACAACTTATGTAATGAATAAAATGCCATTTTCCTTAAAAGAGCAAAAAAATTGGCAAAAATTAGCTTAGTCGGGATTTTTCCGTGACAGAAAGAACTTTATGAGAAGTCAATATTATCCTCCGATTAATCGTTCTTATATGTGCGCACCACCTTTGACCTTGTGGACGGACCACAAAGTGACGGTGTGTCTGCTTTTTTAAACAACATAATGATAGCAAATCATATGATTGCGGGTGTCTGAAATTTAAAACATCTTCCCTCTCTGTGTATTTTATATTAAAAGGCACAGAAACTAAGATGAGACGAAGGTAAACTCATTGTGATTTATTTTTTGTGCAACTTAGCACATGGTAGATTCTCATCGCCACAAAACAGAGGCATAGATAGCGATGGTGGGGAAGGGGGATAAAAGATCATAACAGCTAGGAAATGGAAAATTTTTTTGTGCTTCAGTAGAGCAAAGTAGGCCGCTTAAGTTGTAAAAGTAATGATATCCCTTTGCGGCTGTGGGAATTTACCAGAGCCAAAATAAATGACGATTGACAGATTGAAGCTCGTAGGATAATGAAAAGATAGGCACACAGAAATCTTTTCCATTATATGAACAAACAGGAGGTCTTAAAGTTGTAAAGAGGAAAAAAGAGGAGGGGATTTTTGCTCTAAAGAATGGAAGAGATGTGAAGTTAGGGAATGGGGGGGGTTCGGGGGGTATAGGGAGAAATGGCAAATTATTAAGCAGGAGGCAGCCCACTTTTAAGGAACTGATTTCTATTTTAGGCGCTTTTATGAACCGTAAATATACTTTATCCCATGGGTCCACAATCAGCCCACTTTGTCTTCCTTCACCTCGTCATTTGAACATGGTGGATGCTGTCATCCTCTGTGGATATCCCTCCGACATGTCTATCACCAAATCCACTCCATGGAACAATTAATGAGTACTGACGCTTGTATACCTTACAAGTGATGAAAATGTCAAGCAGCCAACAGGATCGCAAGTGACCCGCTAATCATTCCTGCAAATTACTCGCTTCCTTTCTTTCCACGCCGAAGAAGAAGTGGTAGCAATTTTTATGACATTTATTCTTAAATGCAAATTAATTATTTTTTTCCTTTTTATTATTTTCCCACGACATTAAAACAAATGTGAGAGTAAATATCCACGTTGTCAGAAGGTGTAGAGCTAGAAGTGCGGATTGTGTGCTTTCTTTAAGGAATGGATAAAGGGGTGGTTGGATGACTGGATGGGGAGATCCACCTATTTGACGTTCTCATGGATCCAATCAGAAATTCCACGAGTGCATGCATACACGCCGTAGTGTTCACCACAACCCAGAACGGAGCCAAAACTTGTCACGCCGTAGATGTACCACCTTCCGTCCTCGGGATTTTGGCAAAAGAGTCCACCACCACTGTCACCGCGACAGGTGTCCTAGGCGAAGGTGTGGACAAAAGGAACAAAAATTCTCATTTTACTACACCAACAAATAAACTAGGGCCAAAAAATTTTTAGATGGGATAAAGTTGCTACTAAATCGCAAACATCACTGGGTGACACTACAAGTGTCACTTTTTGACAAGTAACGTATACGTTGATATTTGTGAAGGTGTCCTCATTGTTTTTTGTATAAATTGGAAAAAAAACTCTTTTTGTACCTCTTAATATTTACTTTTTTACATAAAAGTTACTTAAATTTGTTTTTTTTGGGGTTGGTTGAGCTTTTAGTCAACACACCGTAGGGAGTTATCACTAACCCATTCAAGGTACCCTCCTAGCAAATACCCACTAAAATGGTAAAATTGCCTAGTAGCATTGATTTTTCTATCCATTTAAAATTATTTTTACTTTGAACATATTTGTCTTACTTTTCCTTTCTCTCCAGCACAAATGTGAACCCATTCTCGAAGATTACGGAAGGTCCTACGACACCGTTGCAATGAGACAAGCGGCAAGTCAACTTCGAGCAAACGCAATGGTTGTCTGGGTCCACGACATCTACGATTGGAGGCTAGGGTTTGTCCTAAACCGCAAGGTCGAGGAAAGAGACCCCCTGAGAAGAAGTCAATAAATCCGAGCGGCTCGGGGAGGACCGCGGTGTCTGGTGCCGTGGCGCCCCAACCAGCTGCATAGCATATTTGACCTTCGGGCAAATGAAGGCTTCTATTTGGAATGCAAATTGAGCTCACCTTGTCACCTAAATGTTAACAATAACAGAATAAACATTTGGATTAGCTGAAATCTCTTGTTGAGCTACTAAGAGTATCATTTTGGGATGGTGTAATATCTGCCGTTAATTGGTCTCCTCTTTGAAAGTTTTCACAGCATTTCATTTTCCCTCTTCTTCAAATAAAACAAATTGAATGAATTATTAGTGGCATCTTTAATGCATATTAGTACGCCATTAAAAAACGAACAGTTTTTAAGTAGTCAGGAGCCAATCAAATGTTTGTTTCAAATCTCTAACCAATCGAAGGAGTCTGCAGTGGCTCAATTAATTCAGCCCTCAAATTTGATTGGTTTGTAGGCTCAAATTCCTAATAACAACTAACATCCACCCTAGCCAGATGGATAAAGAATAGTTTTATTAGCTATTATCTTTGTTTTGATATTTTCATCTTTTATGGAACAAATAAGGTTAATAATTTGTCCTAATATGTTTAAAATCATGGAATGATATGCTTGACTCTGTCAGACTTAGGCACCTTTTTTTAGTTTGGTAAAATGGGAAAAAGCAAATAGAAGAAAAAAAATAAAAACTCTGCTGCAACTTAAATTAACTACTGAAATTGTAGTTATAGGTTGCTGAATTTAAATAAGTAGGCAAGGTTGTTTTGGATTCAAATGATGAAAAAGGGCTGGCTATTGGAATTGTTAGAATTGTGTTTTTTTAGCTAAAAAATAACCCAATTGCTACTACTTTATAAGCCTAGAGTTGTAATGTATTTTTATGCATAATTCTCTCACCTTCTGTAATGTCTGCAATGCTCCCCCATGTACGAGTCCTCTGATGGGCCAATAGATGAACTTGAAATATGCTAGTCTATTACTATGGCGCAGGATTTAAATTAAAATATAGGAGAATTAAACCCCGTTCTTCCCTCCACAGGCAGCAAACAGCCGACGGTTACGCACACACACCCACACCGTATCTCTATCTTGCCCATACCCCTCGAATTTTACCACTCCTGGTTACCCCGGCTAAGAGCTCGACAGGATCCAAGCGTAAACACATAAACCCCTGCCTATATCATCGTATGGCTCAGGCATTAAAAAGCTTTTCTACTTAGGCTTCGGATCCTTTAGAGGCGGTGTCACCATTCGTATCATAAAACTGCTCTTACCCCTTATGCATGAACTTTTAGAAAATCTTCGAGACCATCACGTTCTGCACTTCTTCCGTGATCTTCGAACTGCTGACTCAATGTCCATTCAGTTGTCAGGCTTTGGAACTTGGATAGTAACTAGGGTATTTCGACAAGACTATGTTGCTATCGATACAGTCTGCACTCTCAAGAAGTGAATATCCAAGTGCTTTGCCAGTTATAAATTCCTTAATTGGAACTTAGCAACTATTATCCCCAAAATTTTGCCCACATGTGCAGCTTTTGGAAACACTACATGGGAATGGATAAAGAACTTGAAGTTGTATAACTCAAAATTTTACGAACCAAACTCCACAGGCTGATCCAATTTTAGCAGGGCTACATCGAAACCCTGCTCCGAGAATCCCCTCCGATAGTCCGGATGGATGATTGCCAATTCGATTTGGCGGGTGACCTCATGCGACCCATCCCTTTTGCCGCGGACGTGATCACCAATTCTAGCACGAATAGTCTGCTCCAGCTCCTCCTCTACGGAGAAAAAATGGCCCACTGTGAGCACCTTGTCAGGAACTAATTCACTGAGACAGTGGGCTGCTGTGATAAGCCACGAAGGTGCGATCAGTGTGGCTCCACAGAAGGGCGATTCAATGGCGGGAGAACGTAAAGACCTGCCTTCCACAACGAGAGGTCGCACGTACAAGGCCACCTAAAAGTGCAGCATTCAAGGGAGCTTTTGAATGAACGCTAATTTGTAGGAAACGTGTATCTTTTGCTACTGCTTCTACTTATTTCGTTGTTAGTAGCACACAATAACCTTTACGATCTTAGCATAGAAATGACCTTAAATGCGACACCAACCTCTACTACTATGATGCGATTATCAGTAATTGATGAGATCTTGTGGTAGTGTGTTATGATAACGTCGTAGTGCCAACTTCACCGCATCCGACCTGTGACTAAGAAATCGTAAACATCTCCACCTGTTGGGCGCAAACTGGTGTGACCGCGAGGTTAAACAGGATGTATTGCCCAAACAAAGTTCTGGAGGAGTCATTTTCTTTTTTCTTCTGATCGCATCATAGTTCATTCGTCCATTCATTGGTTTCATCCTGGATGTTTTCTGATAATTAGGATCATGGTTACCAGACTCGAATAAAAGCCGAAACTTTTTGATAGCCTGCCAGCTAATTTTCACAGCTGCATGATTATCAAAAAATGACTTTATTTCTGCCAAAGTGTATGGTCAGTTTGTTTATTTAGCTGACATGGGTAAAATAGGGTTCAAAATGGATTTTACTGATGACCTTTAGCCAATCAGCAAAGCCTAAGTTGGTGATTTGTTAATTCCACCGACCAATTGCGAGCCGATTTTGGTTGCTTGATTCACACGTCTTTGTCATTGACAGTTAGAGCTTCACAAACTCAGACAATAATCACTAATTTTTGAAAAAAAAAGGGAAGATTTTAAGTGTTAACGTACTTGCCAAGGCCAACTGTGCGGTTTGGCCTCACGACCACCAAGAATCTTTGGTGAAACGCCACGTTTGCCCTTAAAATTGGGCCGCTTTCCACAGGTGCTTGATAATTCTTTTAAAAGTTTTGAAGGGGCTAAAAATAGACAAAAAGAGGGGTGAAAGAAGTTAAACATCTCACAAGCATACCAACACTTGACTTATTGACTAAACACCAGCTCAAATGAACAACAAATAGTTTTAATCATTAAATGAAAACACAAATGTGGTAGCTACACTTTTTTGAACCTCTTCAGTCGCTCCTTATCCAAACCTCAAACTTATAAGTGAATTCCCCGTAACTTTACAGGTTTTTTTTTAAAAAGAAAAACTTAAGTTATAAAAGCACGTCTCAATCAATTATAGGAGGTAGAATTATTGACAACTATTGGCAGTTGTAAATCGATCTGATGCCAAAGCATCGATTTTTCTCGGCCTAGCAACAGCTGATGAATACAAACTAAAGTCAAAATTGTCAAGTCTGTCACTGAATTCCTCGAATAAGGTGTCACTTTGCATTTAGTGTTACATCTTTTCTCCGGCAACAGCAAACATTCACCCAACTCCAAACTTGTCATCATTGGCAGTTTTTGCGGCAAGTTGGTACATTGGACAAGTTTTATGATTTCTTTTGTTCTAGTCACTACGTGAGTTTGAGATTTTAAGGCAAACTTTTCCGCCTACAATTTCAGTGGAAGCAGTGGAGGATCTACTAAGGCATCCAGATGCGAGCAATAAATACTCAACTTGTAAATGTTTCGGCCAGTAAATGTTGGTTTCTGTGGGTAAGCACTAACCAAAAGTAGGTGACTGGATGGCTATGGCCCAAGTGAATGGATGGATGGATGGATATGTGACGAATGATTCGACGGCTAATCATTAGAGTGTTAGACGAGCGGACAGGCGGATATCTAGGCAGTCATACTTACCCTCTTTACGGCACCCAGCATCATTTGTACACCTTCTTGTCTCCGCTATAAACTGAAAGGGACAGTTATTTGTTTGAAAGAGATTTGGAATCCAACTCTCATAGGAGTCATTCAAACACTGACGATAGCGCAACTCCGTGCAGTCCCTTGTCGAACAATTACTCCACTCCGACCATGGCGTGTACAATTCATTCTTGTAGATGAATATCTTCCGTCGCAGCAACAGAGTGCTTCGATCCATCACATAGTGGGCGAAGAATTTGCTTTGACTCGGTGTCGGAGTAGGCGGAGGAAGAGGAGGCGATGCACTTGATTGACTTCTCTGTGTCAACGCCAGGTGAAGCAACAAGGAGAGGAAGCATAGCCTCACTACCCACTGCATTGTGTCAGCAGGCTAACAGCAAGTGACTGCTGCACGAATGCAGACCAATCTTATATGCTTTGGTGCTCGTGCACCCTTCCGTTCGTCTGTGTGTGTGTGCGCGCGTCCATCGCTGTGTGTAGTATAAACAAAAAGTTCAACCGTGGGGGTAAACAAGCGACTGCCATCGCTGTACACACTCATAACGGCAGTGAGATCGGTTGCTGTGTAGGCTTGAAAGTGTTACCCAGACTCACCCAAAGTGTATCTTTATGAAGTTACCAGCTTGGTGATCCGAAATTTTATCTCATCTCGGGCGTCACACATACGTGACGTTTATTCTTTTTCAATTAACAATGGGCTGGTTGCCTTACAAAGTGGGTAATCAGGTTGCTGAATACTAACGGCTGAGGTAGGCAATCATGGTACGAAATAAGTCAACTACTGGATCATGCTACTCCCTTCCATCAGTCCTTCCTCCATGGTTAAATTCAAATGACCTGACGACATTTTCAGAGGCTAATCAAACCACACACTACTGTAAGTAAGGTATTATAGACTTGGCGCCTTTTATCTGGTGAAGAAAATTGAGATCGGTTGTGATTGCTGAACTCACGGCAACTCATTTCAGAAGAGGAAGCTTAACTAACCTATGGCCACCATAAATCAGTTTAGCAAAAGCACTTTAAGAAGTTTAATGTGGCGCTGATCTCCAGCATTAAAAAATAGGGTTCAGATTTCCTTCCCCACTACCAGTGGTAGTGCCGTGGGAGGTAAACATGTCCCCTGGCACACAGGCACACTTGAACGATGCAGAGATATTAACGGTGGCATTCAGTGGCTACTGAATATTGCGACTCCTCATGCTCAGTAAAGTCTCCTCCACTCTTAGGTTAACATTTGGTGTTCCGAGCACTGTGGATATCAGGAGATGTCTCAGGTGAAATTTCATCCGAGAAAATGGGTGGAGAACGCTTGAATCTTGAGATGAGGAAACGGATCCCACGGACTCATATTTCCACAAAGAAGTACTTCCAAAGGTCAATCCGATGAAGGTAAATTACTTTCCTGATTCTCTACAGAAAATTGGGGAAATGGATGCAAAAAAGGTGAAAAGTAGAGGTTTTGACAGAAAAAGTTACCGTACGATATGGAGAAAGAGCCTCAAATAGGAAAGCGTTGGGTTTAAGAGTTCAGGTTAACGTTGCCTCTAGAATTTCCCCTTGAAATGATTGAGGATAGAGTTGTTACAATCGCGGAAGCATTGAATGGACTCCGCACAAAGGGGTGGCGACCCTCATTTCTCTGATTGATTACCCAACCCTGAAATTACTAAAAGGAGGCATGAAACACAGATGGCTGAATCCACAGCGACTCATCAAGGGAAGATTGTGGAAACAATCACCCCAACAATTGGAACCATGCTCGACTTAAACAATTTTACTTGACCGCTTACTACGTCGGCTCATCTTCTGATAGGATCTGTCCCTCCATCTTAATGATAAGACTATCCTGACCCTTCTGGAGGTCAGGAAGGGCTTGAGTGATTCCAACAGGAGTAATTAACAACACACACACAGCCAGAGCACGACATCTGCGTAAAAGTCTCTTAGCTGGAGAACAGAGTCCTAGGTTGGTCTTCTTCTCTCTTACTTATAGTATTTTGAATGACCTCGACCTTGCCGTCCTTACAAGCACACACTGATGGTATCGCCATGTAATATAAAACAATGAGAATTCACAAAGAATGAAAACCGAAAATGGTTCAAGAATGTCTGGGTAATCGAACTCCCCGAGCTTCCAGGTATCTCGTAATGTTGTACCCAGCTACTTGTTGACTCTTGCACCATCAGGAATAACCAGAGCGTCACGTTGATGGCAGCGTTGTCAAGCTCGAGTTAGAGTTGTCAAAGGAAGATACCTTCCATGGATAGTTACATTTGTGGAGACTCATGAGAGAAGGACTGGTGAGTTGCGAATACCTTGATAACAGGCTCAAACAGTAGAAGATGAAAAGAGTGAGATCAGCATTGAAACATTTGGAACCGTCGGGAAAGTAACTGTCGGAAAACTAAACATCTTCTCGAGTTGAAAGATGGGGGAAAGAGTCAGAATAGGGAATAGATCGAAGTGATGCGCCTGTGCGAACGTGTTGACCAATTTGAAGTACGAACGTTGCAGGTGGCCCCCCTCTGATGCTTACGAGATAGACAGCCAGCTGAAGGCAGACTATAGAGTACGAACAAAGGAGGGAAGCACCAATGGGTAGGTCACTTTTGCTAGGATTTCAGTGACCTTCCATAACCGCAGTTCTTGCACTACCTTCACCGGCAGAAGAAATTGCGTTACTATGTGCACAGGACTATGATTAATTAAATCAGGTGATGGCGCAGGCTATAAATCACGGCGCTAAGAAAATCTAGATGAGAATGTAAACCTACTGGACGGTCGTTGAAGTAAACAAAAACATTTTTTTAATATGGGTAGAAGTGTAACGCTTGACAATCAGATGGCTGCCTTTGACGCAAATGCTCGACAAACTGCTACTTAAAAGTTAAAATAAACAAAATGGGGGAATTTCGTTATCGAGTAAAGTGAAAATTTGATGGATTGTCAACAACGCCTATGGATACTAAAAGACTGGCTTTGATCAAAGTTGGAATGACTTATAGTGTGCAGGTGAAATAGTGTCATTAAAAGATACACAAGTAAATAGTTTTTACAAAAAATCATGACACAAAGATTCTTCTACAATTCAATCAATACACTTGCGGATGTTATTTACTTCTAAATAAGTATATATGTTTACTAAACAAAACAAAACAATGAATGAATTCGTAAAATATGACAAAGGACCATGCTTTGTTGCATTCAGACTTCTGTGAATAAAAATTAGAATTTTGATTATTATTAGTATCTGTTTTAAGCTACTTAAAATTAAAGGGATGATTTTTAGGTTAATGCGATTTAAATAATGAAAAGTTCGAATTTCCTCAGTTTTTAAATAAATGGAAGTGGCTTGCTTGTATGCGCTGTTCTGTCGGCGCGTCGGTCAGGTGTGTTTTGCTAGCTGTCGTTTTGTCTCTCAAAAGCGTGTTTTGTGTTATCATATTACTGACTACAGTGCCGTTTAAATCATGTCTTATACGATGCCTCCATTGTTGCTACTTGTGTCTGGAGCGAAATTGGTACTTTCATCTTTCTGATATTAAAACTATCTTTTTTATGAAACCCAGGATTATTTGCTTATCGTAGTTATTATGCTTGAAAACTAAAACATAATTGTGCGGTTATGTCCCATTTCTGAATGTGTTTTGTTGGTAATGAACGGTATGAACCTGCCTTACATTTCACATTCATTTCACATTTCTCCTTTTTCGGATCAGAAGAACTCAGAAAGCTTGTCGTCAAGGCTAAAAAATGGGAAATGTTCGTAAAAACAACCAAAAGGGACCTCCACTACCATCCTCGCGAAGGTAGACAAATTCCCTTTTACTTCGTTGGCTAAACCGATGTGTTTGATGCAATATCTTCATCGTTTTCCCAATTTTGCCTCATAGGACAACAGATGGGGCCACAACGCTTTCCAAAGGTGGCGTCGAGCCAATTCGACATATTCTCTTTCCTCCCATCCCCGTCTGCGGCGCTATGAATTTTCACCTCACGAAATTCGCTTTTTCTGTGGTGGCTGTGACATTGCAGTACCTCAATATGTATCGCACTGTTTGGTGGCTTTCTCGGCCATGGATTAAGTATCCCGTGGTGAGTTTGTGTTACTTCATATTGACCTAATTTGCTAAAAGTTATGCCAAACTTCTTTGCGAATTTGACTTGCCTCCTTTCTAAACCTAGTAGGCCGTTGTTTATTCATTTCGGATACTGAAATAGAGCCCAAATCATGCTTTCTTTAGCTATTCTCTAATCGTTTTGATTAGACGTGGGTAGCTGAAAAGTTAATTGCGACCGTCTCTTTCTGTGACTGCTATTCCCCCATGCTG